GCCCAATATTCAATATTCTTAAACAATTTTCAATACAGAATTTCATATTCAGCCAAACTAAGTTTCATAAGCAAAGGAGAAATAAAATCCTTTACAGACAAGTAAATGGTGAGAGATTCTGTACCACCAAGTCTGTGTTACAAGTGCTCCTGAAGGAAGCACTAAATGTGGAAAAGAAGACCGGTACCAGCCACTGCAAAACCACACCAAAATATAAAGACCAGTGACACTATGAAGAAACTGGATCAACTAATGTAGAAAATAATCAGCTAGCATCATGATGACAGGATCAAATTCACACATAACAACATTAATCTTAAATGTATATGGGCTAAATACATCAATTAAAAGACACAGACTGGTAAGTAAAAAAAAGTCAAGACCCATTGGTATGTTGTATTCACTAGACTCATCTCACGTGCAAAGACACACATAAGCTCAAAATAAATGAATGAAGGGACATTTCCAAAGCAAATGGAAAGAAAAAAAAAGAGCAGAGGTTGTAAAAGAGTCTTTAAACTGACAAAGATCCAAAAAGACAAAAAAGGGGATTACATAATGCTAAAGGGATCAATGTATCAATACAGTGAACTGGCAACCAATAGAATAGGAAAAAAATTTTGCAATCTACCCATGTGACAAAGGGTTGATATCCAGAATCTACAGAGAACTTACACAAATTTACAAGAAAATAAACAACCCAATAAAAAAGTGGGTGAAGGATATGAACAGACACTTTTCAAAAAAAGACATTTATGCAGCCAACAAACATATGAAAAAAAATCTCTTCATCACTGCTCATTAGAGAAATGCAAATCAAAACTACATTGAGATATCACCTTACGCCAGTTAGAATGGCAATCATTAAAAAATCAGGAGACAACAGATGCTGGAGAGGATGTGGAGAAATAGGTATCCTTTTACACTGTTGGTGGGAGTGTAAATTAATTTAACCATTGTGGAAGACAGTGAGGCAATTCCTTAAGGATCTAGAACTAGAAATACCATTTGACCCAGCAATCCCATTAATGGGTATATACTCAAAGGATAATAAATCATTCTATTATAAAGAGGCGTGCACTTGTATGTTTATTACAGCACTGTTCACAATAGCAAAGACTTGGAACCAATCCAAATACCCATCAGTGATGGACTGGATAAAGAAAATGTGGCACATATGTACCGTGGAATCCTATGCAGCCATAAAAAAGGATGATTTCATGTACTTTGCAGAAACATGGATGAAACTGGTAACCATCATTCTCAGCAAACTGACACAAGAACAGAAAACCAATCACCACATATTCTCACTCATAAGGAGCGTTGAACAATGAGAACAAATTGACACAGGGAGGGGAACATCACACACCGCTGCCTGGGTGGTGGGGGGCTAGGGGAGGAATAGCAGGAGGTGGAGGGAGTGAGAAGGGATAGCATCAGAAAAAAATACCTAATGTGGATGATGGGGTGATGGATGCAGCAAACCACCACCATGGCATGTGTATACCTATATAACAAACCTGCATGATCTGCACATGTACCCCAGAACTTAAAGTATAATAAATAATTTTTTAATTCATAAGAAAAAACAACCTCATCAAAAAGTGGACAAAGGATATGAATAGACACTTCTCAAAAGAAGATATTTATGCAACCAACAAAAATATGAAAAAAAGCTAGTCATCTCCAGTCATTAGAAAAATGCAAATCAAAACTACACTGAGACACCATCTCACACCAGTTAGAATGGAGGTCATTAAAAGTCTGGAAACAACAGATGCTGGAGAGGATGCAGAGAAATAGGAATGCTTTTACACTATTGGTGTTAGTGTAGATGATCTCAACCATTTTGTTAGAGAGTGTGGTGATTCCTCAAGGATCTAGAACCAGAAATACCACTTGACCCAGTAATCCCATTACTGCACATATACCCAAAGAATTATAAATCATTCTGCTATAAAGACACATGCACACATGTGTTCATTGCATATGTAGCTCATATACACCATAAAATACTATGTAGCCATGGAAAGAATGAGTTCATGTCCTTTGCAGAGATATGGATGAAGCTGGAAAACCATTATTCTCAGCAAACTTACACAGAAGCAGTAAACCAAACACCGCATGTTCTCGCTTGTAAGTGAGAGTTGAACAATAAGAACAGATAGGCAAAGGGAGGGAACATCACACACTGGGGCTTGTCGGGGGTTTGGGGCAATGGAAGGGAGATCATCGGGACAAATACCTAATGCATGCAGGGCTTAAAACCTAGATAATGGGTTGATAGGTGCAGCAAACCATCATGGCATATGTATACTTATGTAACAAACCTGCATGTTAAACACATGTATTCCAGAACTTAAAGTAAAATAAAATTAAACTTATTTAAAGAAAGCAGGGATGTTGAATTTTACAACATCAATTGCAAGATACAGTCCAGCCATGTCCATGGAGAAACTACCTTGTTCTCTACTAGCCCCATACCTAGAGCCCAATTTCTCCAGGCCCAGGAGATGAGCAACCATTGCTTTCCATTCTGCTGGGCCCTATATACTTGCCTCAAAGCCTCAGTCACCAAGAGACCTGACATCCTTGGAAGAGCATGGTAATGAGGCACCACCTGAGGAGAAGCCACTCTGATGCAAGCTTCCATGAATTATCACAATATAATTCAACATAATTTGCATAACCACACCATTGTCATAAATCAAAATCAGCCCAAAAAAGAGAGATATTAGTTTTCTCAAAATCAAAGAACCTCTTAAAAACCACACAGCTGCTGAATAATCAACTTGTGAAACTGAGATGTTTCTAGAATGGGACAATAAATGTGCCTGTAATAGCTTAAATTTTTTATAACTCAGAAAATTATATTTGTCTTCATCTTTTTTACACACAGTAAACAAAAACATTAAACACATTAAACAAAAAAATAAATAAGATACAGATTTTATAACCTTTTTATGTTAAAAAAAAAAAAAGCCATGAAGTAGGTAGACAAGACAGATATTCTGCTAATTGGAGGGGGGATATAGGACACGTCTGAAAAGGTACAAAGTCCTAGAATGGGCTTATAAAATTCACTGTATCAATAAATCTTACTTTTGCTGCTGTTTTCTTCTAAGAGTTTTATGGTTTTCACTCATATATAAGTCATGGAACCATTTAAGTTATTTTTGTTTATGGTGTGAAGTAGGGGCTCAAACTTTTCCATGTTCTTAACCAGTTGTCCTAACAGTATTTGTTAAAGCAATTGTTTTTACCCTTCAAATAGTCTTGGCACCTGTGTCAAACATCAATTGATTCTGGATTTATGAGTTTATTCCTGCACTCCTAATTCTGTTGCATTGGTCAATATGCTTAATTTTATATGGTATGACGCTGTTATGACTATTACAACTTTATAGTAAAGTTTGAATTCAGGAAGTGTGAGTCCTCCAACTTTTTTCTTACTTTTTAAAGTTCGTGTGTGTGTGTGTGTGTGTGTGTGTGTGTGTGTGTGTGGCTATTCAAGGCCCCTTGTGATTCCATATGGGCTTGACGTTCAGCTTTTCCACATCACAGAAAGCATCATTGGAAATTTGGTAAACATTCCATTGAATCTGAAGATCACTTTAGGTGGGTATTGTTACCACCTTAACAGCATTAATTCTTCCATTTTATGAACATAGTATGTCCTTTCATTTATTTTTCTCTTCTTTAATTACCAGTTTTTAGTTTACAAGTCTTTTATCTCCTTGGTTACATTTATTTCTAGGTATTTTATTCATTTTTGGGTGCTATTGTAATTGAATTATTTTATTCATTCTTTTTTCAGATGTTTATTGCTGGTGTGTAACCCTTTTATTATGCTATTGGATTTCATTTTCTAGAATTTTGATGAGGAATTTTTTATCCATAGAAACAAGGAATATTGGTGTTTACTTTTCTTGTGATGTTGTGAGCAAGCTTTGAAATCAGGATAATGCTGGCCTCATAGAATACATTGGGAAGTGTTTACTCTTCTTTTGTTTTGGTAGGAATGGTTTGAGAAGTATTGGTATTAATTCTTTGAATGTTTGTTGCATCTCCCCAGTGAAGTCATTTGGTTCTGAGCTTTTCTTTGCTGAAAGTGTTCTACGATTTTCTATTAGGTTTATAGTTAGTGTATAGTGTTGCTCAAGTTCTCTATTGCCTTCTTGATTTTTTCTAATTTGTATGTTTGTTATAGAGTGTAGAATATAGAACTATCTATTTCTATGGATTCTGTAAAGGTAAAGTAGGAAGAAGACGTATTGTAAGTTATGGCACAAAGAAATATTAGGGGAGTTCTTGTGGTTGGTCATTCCTCTGTAAGTGAGAAAAACTGCTCATGTTAATACATTTTGGATGTCTGTCTTACAGAAAGCTCTACAAGGAATTTGGCCTTCAGAGAGTTTTCTATGTATCCAGATTCTCTGCCTTAGCTTCTTTTTTCACTTTAAAGAAAGAAGAATGACATAGAGATGGATTCAGATAGACCTAAATTGAAATCTGGGATCTGCCACTAGTTAGCTAGTGGTGTGATCTTCAGCAACATAGTAGGTGTATATATTTATGGCGTACATAAGTAATTTGTTGACAAAAAGAGTCAAACTTGTAAAATATTTGAAGAGACTTACTTTGAGCCAAATATGAGTGGTCAGTGACCTGTGACGCAGCCCCAGGAAAACCTGAGAACATGTGCCCAAGGTGGTCAGGCTACAGCTTGTTTTATGTATTTTAGAAAGACATAAGACATCAATTGATATGTGTAGATGTACATTGGTTTGTTCCAGAAAAGTGAGATAACTTGAAGTGGCAGCTTTCTGGTCATGGGTGGATTCAAATATTTTTCTGATTGGCAATTGGTTAAAATAGTTATTATCTAGGGATGCTGGGAAGATGGCTGCCTAAGAACAGCTCAGGGCTTCAGCTCCCAGTGAAAGTGCAGAGGGTGAGTGGACACCGCATTCCCAGACAAATTTTTATTGCCCACAGACCAGGAGATACCCAGGCAGAGGGGTCGCCAGCACCACAGTCCCGGCCAGTGCAGCTGTTTTGGCCCCCGTGGGGCTGATTTGGCCCACACAGCTGCTTTGACCATGCCCTCTTGCGGCGGTTCTCCGTACAAAAGCCACTGGTCTGGGAGCTCTCTTAGCTGGCGACTGGAGCCCTGAGATGGCAGAGTTGCCCATTCATCTGAAATAGTGAGCCAGGCTAGGAGATTCCCAGGCAAAAAAATCCACCAGGAGCCGGCACCACTGTTTGAGCCGACTCAGTGAGCCGCAGCACGGGAGATCCCAGCGCCTTTTCAACAAGCGACTGGAACGTGGGGTCATTCAACTTAAAAAATAAAAGAAAAGACTCTGAGTTAGGGAGCCAGGTGAGCAGGCTCAGTTGGTCCCACCCCCCCACCCCCAACAACAACGAAAACAAAAACAGTAATTGAAAACCCTCTGGGTTGAGCCCTTCACACCAAGCACAGCTGAAACCTGGACAGTCTGGCTCAGTGGGGGAGGGGCGTCCACCATTACTAAGACTCTCCACCACTACAGAAGCAGGCCAACCTGCAGGGCAACCTGCCACAACAGAGAGAGTTCACCATAACAGAGGCGGGGCCACTGTTGCCGAGGCAGTTCTAACTACGCCCATATAAACAGGACTGCAGGGAAAAGCACAGGGCAGCTGGACAGAGCCCACAGCAGCTCAGCAAAGCCTCTGTGGGCAGACAGTGGCTAGGCGTGCTGCTACCTGGGTGGGGCAGACCTGAAAGAAAAATCAAAAAAGGCAGTAGCACAATGGAAACTCATAAAGCCCAACTCCCCAGGACAGAGCACCTGGAAACAAAAAGTGCTTTATGAGTTCAGCTGCAGCAGACTTAAACGTACCTGCCCAGCAGCTCTGAAAGAACAACGGAGCTCACAGCTCAGGACTTAAGTCCCAATAAAAGATAGCCTGTCTCCTCAAGTAGCTCCCTGACCTTCACAGTTTCAAAGACTCACCTCATAAAGGAGAGAACGGACTGACAGTTGGCAAGCATCCTTCTGGGACAAAGATAGCGGAAGAGGAAACTGGTAGCAATCCTTACTGTTCTGCAGCTGCTGCAGGTGATCCCCAGGCAAGCAGGGCCTGGAGAGGACCTCAGCAGTCCTACAGCAGAGGGGCCAGACTGTTAGAAGGAAAGCTTAAAAAAAAATAAAAATTAAAAAGTAACTTCAGCATCCACGAATTAGAAGCTCACTCAGAGACCCAACCTGAAAGACAGTAACTAGAAAGACAACAGGTGGATAAAGCCACAAAAATGGGAAGAAACCAGTGCAAGAAGGATGAAAAATCCCGAAACCAGAACACCTCTCCTCCTAAAAGGGATCACAACTCCTCACCAGCAAGGAAACCAGACCGGATGGAGAAAGAGTGTGATGAAATGACAGAATCAGACTTCAGAAGGTGAGTAGTAAGAAACTACAGTGAGCTAAAAGAACATGTTCTAACCCAAAACAAAGAAACTAGGAACCTTGAAAAAAGATTGGACTAAATGCTAACAAGAATGGACAGCATAGAGAGGAATATAAGTGAATTGATGGAGCTGAAAAACACAACACGAGAACTTCACGAAGCATGCACAAGCTTCAACAGCCGAATTGACCAAGCAGAAGAAACGATATCAGAGGTCGAAGATCAACTCAATGAAATAAAAAGAGAAGGCAAGAACAGAGAAAAAAGCGCAAAAAGGAATGAAAAAAATCTTCAAGAAATGTGGGACTATGTGAAAAGACCTAATCTACGTTTGATAGGTGTACCTGAATGTGATGAAGAGAATGAATCCAAGCTGGAAAATACTCTTCAGGATCTTATCCAGGAAAACTTCCCCAATCTAGCAAGGCAGACCAATATTCAAATCCAAGAAATACAGAGAACACCATAAAGATATTCCTCAAGAAGAGCAACCCCAAGGCACATAATCGTCAGATTCACCAGGGTTGAAATGAAAGAGAAAATACGAAGTGCAACCAGAGAGAAAGGTCGGGTTACCCATAAAAGGAAGCCCATTAGACTCACAGCAGATCTCTCAGCAGAAACCCTACAAGCCAGAAGAAACTGGGGGCCAATATTCAACATCCTTAAAGAAAAAAACTTTCAACCCAGAATATCCTATCCAGCCAAACTAAGCTTCATAAGTGAAGGAAAAATAAAATCCTTTGTGAACAAGCAAGTACTCAGAGATTTCATCACCACCAAACCTGCTCTACAAGAACTCCTGAAAGAGGTTCTACACATATAAAGGAACAACCAGTACCAGCCACTCCAAAAACACACCAAATGGTAAAAGAGCATCAACACAATCAAGAATCTGCATCAACCAACCAACAAAACATCCAGGTAGCATCAAAATGACAATATCAAATTCACACATAACAATACTATCCCTAAATGTCAATGGACTAAATGCCTATTTAGTCCTAATCAAAAGACACAGACTGGCAAATTGGATAAAAAGCCAAAACCCATCAGTGTGCTGTATCCAGGAAACCCATCTTACATGCAAGGATACACAAAGGCTCAAAATAAAGGGATGGAGGAAGATCTACCAAGCAAATGGAGAGCAAAAAAAAAGCAGGAGTTGCAATTCTCATCTCTGATAAAATAGACTTTAAAGCAACAAAGATCAAAAGAGACAAAGAAGGACATTACATAATGGTAAAAGGATCACTGCAACAAGAAGAGCTAACGATCCTAAATATATACGCACCCAATACAGGAGCACCCAGATACCTAAGGCAAGTTCTTAATGACTTACAAAGAGACTTAGACTCCCACACAATAATAGTGGGAGACTTTAACACCCCATTGTCAATATTAGACAGATCAACCAGACAGAAAATCAACAAGGATATCCAGGACCTGAACTCAGACCTGGAACAAGCAAACCTAATAGACATTTACAGAACTCTCCACCCCAAATCCACAGAATATACATTCTTCTCAGCACAACATCATACCTACTCTAAAATCGACCACATAATTGGCAATAAATCACTCCTCAGCAAATGCAAAAGAACAGAAATCATAACAAACAGTCCCTCAGACCACAGTGCAATCGAGTTAGAACTCAGAATGCAGAAACTAACTCAGAACGGCACAGCTTCATGGAAACTGAACAACTTCCTCTTGAATGTTGACTGGATAAACAATGAAATGAATGCAGAAATAAAGGTGTTCTTTGAAACCAATGAGAACGAAGACACAACATACCAGAACCTCCGGGACACATTTAAAGCAGTCTCTAGAGGAAAATATATAGCAGCGAGTGCCCACATGAGAAGAAAGGAGAGATCTAAAATTGACACCCTATCATCAAAATTGAAAGAGCTAGAGGAGCAAGATCAAAAAACCTTAAAACCTAGCAGAAGACAGGAAATAACTAAGATCAGAGAAGAACTGAAGGAAATAAAGACACAAAAAACTCTTCAAAAAATCAATAAATCCAGGAGCTGGTTTTTCGAAAAGATCAACAAAATAGACAGACCACTAGCCAGATTAATAAAAAGGAAAAGAGAGAATAACCAAATTGATGCAATAAAAAACGATAAAGGGGATATCACCACAGATTCCACAGAAATACAAACCATCATCAGAGATTATTACAAACAACTCTATGCACATAAACTAGTAAACCTGGAAGAAATGGATAAATTCCTGGACACCTGCATCCTCCCAAGCCTAAACCCGGAAGAAGCCGAAACCCTGAATAGACCAATAACAAGGTCTGAAGTCCAGGCAGCAATTAAGAGCCTACTACCCAAAAAAATCCCAGGTCCAGATGGGTTCACAGCCGAATTCTACCAGACATACAAAGAGGAGCTGATACCATTCCTTCTGAAACTATTCCAGACAATCCAAAAAGAGGGAATCCTTCCCAAATCATTTTATGAGACAAACATCATCCGGATACCAAAACCCGGCAGAGACTCAATAAGAAAAGAAAATTTCAGGCCAATATCCATGATAAACATAGATGCAAAAATCTTCAATAAAATACTGGCAAACCGATTGCAACAGCATATCAAAAACTCATCCACCATGATCAAGTAGGATTCATCCCGGGGATGCAAGGCTGGTTCAACATACGCAAGTCCCTAAACTTAATTCACCACATAAACAGAACAAAAGACAAAAACCACATGATTATCTCGATTGATGCAGAGAAGGCCTTTGACAAAATTCAACAGCCCTTTATGCTAAAAACCCTCAATAAACTAGGTATTGACAGAACGTATCTCAAAACAATAAAAGCTATTTACGACAAACCAACAGCCAATATCATACTGAATGGGCAAAAACTGGAAGCATTCCCTTTGAAATCTGGCACTAGACAAGGATGCCCTCTCTCACCACTCCTATTCAATATAGTACTGGAAATTCTAGCCAGAGCAATCAGGCAAGAAAAAGAAATAAAGGGTATTCAAATTAGAAAGGAGGAAATCGAATTGTCTCTATTTGCAGATGACATGATTGTATATCTAGAAGACCCCATGGTCTCAGCCCAAAATCTCCTGAAACTGATAAACATCTTCAGCAAAGACTCAGGATACAAAATCAACATGCAAAAATCACAAGCATTCCTATACACCAGTAACAGACTTAAAGAGAGCCAAATCAAGAACGAACTGCCATTCACAATTGCTACAAAGAGAATAAAATACCTAGGAATACAACTAACAAGGAACGTAAAGGACCTCTTCAAGGAGAACTACAAGCCACTGCTCAACGAAATAAGAAAGGACACAAACAGATGGAGAAACATTCCATGTTCATGGTTAGGAAGAATAAACATCGTGAAAATGGCCATACTGTCCAAAGTAATTTACAAATTCAGCGCTATTCCCATCAAGCTACCAATGACCTTCTTCACAGAACTGGAAAAAAACACCTTAAACTTCATATGGAATCAAAAGAGAGCCTGCATAGCCAAGTCAATTCTATGCGAGAAGAACAAAGCAGGAGGCATCACACTACCGTACTTCAAACTATACTGCAAGGCTACAGTAATCAAAACAGCATAGTACTGGTACCAAAACAGAGTTATAGAACAATGGAACAGAACAGAGGGCTCAGAGGAAATACAACATACTCACAATCATCTTATCTTTGACAAACCTGACAAAAACAAGCAATGGGGAAAGGATTCCTTGTT